TGACACTGACCCTAACCAAATCCAAAACTAGTGAAAAACAGTCAGAAAAGACGAGTAGGGAAAAAAAATGCCAGTGGCCTCCACCTGTAAAACCATTCCTGTTTTGGGGGTTGTCTCATTGTTGCCCATCTAGTGCCCATGTTCTTAATTTAAAAGCAGCTGAAACTGATTAACAACCCCCTCTGCTATTTAACTGACCAGATCAATATCCCAGGAGTTTGAATGACTTGAGGCTATACTCTAATATCTACAGTGCTAAAAAAAAATTAAAGTAACACTTTTTAATCAAACAGGATGAAGCCTCAAAAATTGTGTGCAACTGTGAAACAAAAAATTGCAGTGCCAAAAATTGTCCAAAGGCAACATTAAAAGTGATATCAAAAAGCAGATTTTTTTTTTTTTTTTAAACAAAAATAAAAAAAAACAAAACCACAGACATGTCATACTTGCCTGCTTAGTGCAGTGCTTTTGCACAGAGCAGCCCTGACCCTCCTCTTCTCGGGGCCCCCACCAGCACTCCTGGTCCCACCCTCTGCCTAGTGGCCCCAGAGAAAGCAGCTTGCTATGGGGCACCCAATCAGGCTTGCTTCCGAGCCACTGCTGTGCATGTCCATTCACACACAGAGCTGTGGCTCAGCCACCCTGCCTCTCTCCTCATTAGCTCACAGGCTGCGATTGACAGCAGCAGGAGCCAATGGCTTCTGCTGCCATCTCAGCCAATGAGGAGGGAGAATCCCTGGAGAGCCGAAGCTCTTGTGCATATGGCTGGATCGCAGGGGCTCAAGTACATATTAGGGGAGTCTGGGGGGGGGGGGGGGGGGTGCTTATGCACACAGGTGGCTTTTTACTTTCATGCATAGAATGCATGAAGGTAAAGATCCTGGCGCCTTTACAACCACTTCATAAGCCTTTAGAGCTCATCAATTTAGAGTTAACCATAAACGAACACTCTAGAATGGATGCTCTCACTACATCGCTCACAATGATACCCAATATGTGTGGCGCAATTTCCATTTTCATAAGTGAGAATACCTGACGTGTGTTTCTCTTACATATGGGTGTGTACCGGAAGACTTTATTTTTCTCCAACTTCTTCCTGCCCGGCCTATTGCAAGATGACGACCGAGCAAGATCCCTATTATCCTGGGTGAACATCACATGATGTCCTTCCAGGATCAGGCCGCACTCCGTTTTAGTAAAAAAAAAAAAAAAATCCAAGCATTTATTAGACCCCTAATGTCACCTCTGCACTAAACAGTTTTTTCTTCTGCTTTAGGCCCCGTTCACACGAGTGGACTGATCTGATCCGCCTGTCAGTTTTTCAGGCTGACCTGAGCAAACCTGCCATGCTCCTCTATGGAGTGGCGGGTTTAAGTGGACAAAAAACACAGACGTATGGGGATCTGCCATCCAATCTGCTGGATGGAGAGCAATCAGGTGTGAATGGACAGGCGTTCCATTTACATCCCACCTCCCACAGAGGAGAGTGAGCTATGTCCATGTCTACTCTGCATAAGCTGAGCAAATTTGGACCAGCCATCTCAGCGGGGAACAGTAGACAGACTCCCCACTGAGCTGGCTAAAATATTAACTACTTGACCTCCAGGCCAACTCTGACATTTCTCTTACATTAAAAAAATGGAATTGTTTTGCTAGGAAATTACTTAGAACCCCCAAATATATATTCTTTAAGCAGACACCCTGGAGAATAAAATAGTGGTAATGCAATTTTTTCACCACACAATATTTGAGCAGCGTTTTTTTAAATGCTTTTTTTGTTAGAAAAAACACACTTATAGAATGAGAGGGTGGATTGGAGAGTTATATAGAGGGCCTACTGCTACCATAATGGTAAATGGAGAAGATCGGAGTATTTTAGGATGTCAAATGGTACAAGACAGGATGTCCATTGTCGCCATTGTTATATGTGTTATCACTGGAGCCCTTATTGTCCATGATTAGGAAGAACATAGACATAAAAGGAATAAAGATAGGAGATAGAGAACATAAAGTAGTGGCTTATGCGGACGATCTGATGTTTTATGTTGGAAACCCCAGAACATCACTTGCAAATTTAATGAAAGCATGGAGGGAGAATGGAGAACTGTCGAACCTGAAAATTAACCCGACAAAGACCGAAATCTTAAATATAAACCTTAAAAACAGCGAGAAAGAAAAAATTACAAGAGGAATTCCCTTTCCTTTGGAGAGACAAAGAATTAAAATATCTAGGAATAAAACTATCAGTCTCAATTAAGAACCTATATAAAGCCAATTATATAGCATTATTAAATGAGATTAAGGAGCTGAGGAAAGTGGGAAATGGAAACCCATCGTGGATAGGTCGCATAAACTTGATAAAGATGGTAATTGTCCCCAAAGTATTATACAAATTTCAAATGATCCCAATCAAACTCCCAGAGGCATATTTTAAAGAACTTAGGAAAATGATAATAAAATGTATATGGAGGAATAAAAAGCCTAGAATAGGTTATGAAATGTTGACTAGAAGTAAAGAAAGAGGAGGATTGGGGGTACCAGATTTTAGGAGATATTATAAAGTGGGGATTATCGCGAGAATATTCGACTGGATCCATAATCCGGAGAAAAGTTGGGTTAAAATTGAGAAAGCACTGAGTGGAATAAGTTTAAGTAAAAGTATTTGGGTACCAGCACAATACAGAGAATTAGAGGAGAGCACTAGTATGTACACTCTTAATGTTTTAAAAGAATGGGATTTATTACACAGACAAAAGGGGTGGGTTTTTAATTCACAATTAATACCACTTAGGAACACAAAATATTTTACCCCGGGTAAGGATAGCATAGCAGGGAAATGGATTATAAAACAGGAGGCGCAATTGAGAGATATAATGGTAGGAGAGAAAATCGGGTCATACAAGGATATGGAGGAAAGAAAGGGAGAAGTCTTTAATAAGATGGATAGACTAAGATATTACCAACTGAAGTACTTTTTTGAGAGCCTTCCAAAGCCTATAAGAACTAGAAAAGACTGGAATCCATTTGAGAGAATATTTGAGTCACGTGGAAATGGTAGACACGGAATGGCAAAAATACACAAGATATTAATGGAACTTGAAAGAGATATGGGAAGAAAAATAGAGGAGGAGGAGCAGAGGAAAATGCTCACATTAATTCACGAAAATATTAGTATGAGGGAAGTAGAAATAAATAAGTGTTTGAATAGATGGCACATTACCCCTAATGTGGAGCACAAGATGAATACGGAAATTTCACGGATGTGAGAGGTTTGGAGAGGTTGTGGAGAGGTGGGCACGTGGTATCATATGTGGTGGGAGTGTCCAGAAATACAGGTGTTCTGGTGGAGGATAGTTTGATAGGGAAAATCACCAAAATCAATATAGGATTAGATCCAGAACTATGTCTCCTCCATATCTCAGAATTCTCAGTGAAAGCATATAAGAGTTCAGAGATATGGCATTACTTGACCGCAGCAAAGAGCCGGATACCCAGGTTCTGGAAGAAAAGAGAGGTGCCAACTGAGGAGGATTGGATGGGTTTCAGATTTCAGGGACAGAAAGATTGTACTATACGCATGAGGACAAGTTGGAGATGTATAATAAAAAATGGAAAGGCTGGGAAGAATATAGAGAAAAGGTGAAATATATGAAGAGATAATATCCCTGGAAGTGGGTTTAGAATTGGGTTTAGGAACAACAGAATAATATGGATTTAATCAGAGTAGAGAAAATGTGGAGCGTGGGAGGGAGGGGGGAAGGGGGATAGGGGGATAGGGGTGGGGGGATGGTAAGAAAAGGAAGTTATATATAAATAAATTATAAAAGGAGAAAATATGGTTTTGATAACTATTTTAATAGAAATGTTGAAATGTTTTGTATATGATTTGAAAAATTAATAAATATTTATAAAAAAAAAAAAAAAAAAAGAAAAAACACACTTCAATGAATTTTAGTGCACAAACATAGGATACCCAATTTTTTTGGTAAAAAAAAAAAAAAAAAAAAAAAGGGATTGTTAAGATAAGTAAACACAAAACATGTCACCTTAAAATTGCGCACACTAGTGGAACAGTGACAAACTATGATACATTAAATTATCCATAAAAGCTTTAAAAGCCTTTACAGGTTACCAGTTTTGAGTTACACAGGAGGTCTGGCTCTAGAATTATTGCTCCTGTTCTGATGTTCATGGTGATCTCTCACAAATGTGGTGCAATTGCGGTTTTCATATGCATATGAGACCGATGTGCGTGTTCGCTTTTGTACCTGAGCACAGGTGGGAGGGGGCGCTTTAAATTTATTTTAATAAATTTTATTTAAATGTATTGTATGTATGTATTAAATGTAATTAATTTTATTTAAATGTCTTTTTACACTGTATGTTTATTTTTTAATTGCTATCACAAGAGATGAACAACATCCCTTGTGATAGCATGGTCTGTGATAAGTGCTCTTTATACACACACACACAGACGTAGTATCTGAGGTCTGCAAGACACACACACTTACACACACAACCCACACACACTTTGAGGTTTCCTGTAGTTGGCCACCAGGTTTGCACACATCTCCGGAGGGATTTTGGCCCACTCCTCTTGGCAGATCCTCTCCAAGTCATTAAGGTTTGGTGGCTGATGTTTGGCAACTCGAACTTTTAGCTCCCTCCACAGATTTTCAATCAGAGTAAGGTCTGGAGACTAGCTAGGACACTCCAGACCTTAATCTGAAAAAATTACTTCAAACCCCAAATAATATATATATATATATATATATATATATATATATATCTCCCCCGTATTCCTCTTAAAGATTTCAGTTTCTTTGCAATTGAATTTCACAGATTATAGGTCACATTTAAAAGGAAGAAAAACTTAGAAGTGATTTACCTCAATCTGATTTTTTTTTTTTTTTTTTTTAAACACAAAATTTTTGCTTAATGCATATGCTACTTCATGCTTAGTTATAAAGTACAATGTGTTTGTACCTTACTATTGCTCACTACAAGTCTGCCAGCGTGTTCATACTTAAAATAATGAATTCTGTTTGTGGCCTCTCTTCTAATCTCTGCAATTGTTTGGCAAAGATGTGAAATAATCCTATATGCCTAGCTGTCTGAAAGTATACTACAGCTTCTGTTAAAATATGGCTGTAAAAAGCACATATTCTTACCTTCTTGATTTCATCTTGAACTATGTCAAACTTCAGTTTTTCATGTACTGCTCTAGCAGTGTTTGTTCTGTCAAAGGGCTCTGGAATAGAAAACACATGTCCTATATAGTATTCTGTTTATCTTGCACCATTGTATAAATAGGCAGCATTAGTTGGGTTAGGTGAAGTGGACCATATTTGCTTGCAGTCTAGAAATTATGGAAATCAAAATCACTGATCTCTATATTTATTCTGGTTAACGCAGACTGAGAGCAGGTCCATGAAACAGTAAGGGGATCATTCTATTTACAGCAAAAGGAAAGTATACTTGTTCTCAGATCAAATGAGTTAAGCTAATTAAATCCTTTGACAGCATAATGTAAGCCAGGGGTAGGCAAACTTAAAGAGGTGGTGATCTACCTGAACAACATGGGAGAAGTCAAAGATCACCAGGCACAGTGTCGGGCAGTGTCACCTCCTCACACCTGCCGTACTACCGTGTCGCAATCACGTGCACTGCACGGCCATCATGGGTTTAAATCAGGTGGTGAGGAGGCAACATATGTCTGACTTATCTGTCAAACACACTCAGATCGCTTTACAGAGGAGCAGCAATCCCTGCTGCACTTGTGAATGAGCTCCTAGTTGCATCCGGCAGCAGCACCCTTAGAACTTGTTCACATGTAAAGTTGGGGTGTGGTAAAACCCGGTTAAATAATGGTTTTACCGCCCCCAATCCCTACCCCCTGTAGCTGCTGAGGCAGCAGCTAAAGGTGTACACATGCTGCAGCAAGAATTACACACCATGTTGCTTTTGGTGGGTGCGACCGCCTCTCAATCGAGACCCATTGAAGCAAATGGGGCCACTCTGCAAGTATCCTGCAACTACATGCTTCTGTGGGGTCCAAAGGGTTAAAGTAGGTGGTGAATAAGCAACACATGGCTGCCCGTTTTCCCTTTGTTTGCTGTACTGTACAAGGTTACAGGGCACTTGCAGAGTGGCCTCATTCACGTGAATGGGTCATGCTTGGCAGGTGCAACACCCACCAACCACAACAGGGCCTAAGAGCCAGCACTACAGAGGAGACATCAACTTATGTGGCTCTTGCTCCTTACTACAGCTCCAACTTTACAAGTCGTCCCTCTGCATTGCATGCTGTTTGATGCTCTGGGATGGCAGGTCAGCAAGCCCTGACTGTGATCTACCAGTCACCTGTCTGAGATCTACTGGTAGATCACGATCTACTAGTTGCTGACCCCAAATGTAAGCCAACAGACAGGTTTATTTTTTTTTTCCCCCTACCAAACTGCAGTAGAGGAAAGCAAAGTCCCCAAACTGCCTATGTTGTCTGGCAAAGAAGATTACTTTTCAGGAATGGATAGACAGCAAGCAGTGTGCATCTAAGTGACCCATATAGTAACCAAAGGCTCTGACCAGCCAATAAAAACCTTTAAAATAAAAAAAATAAAAAAAAAAGTAAAAAATAGATGCTCTCTACCTGTGCTACACACTTCTTACCTAAATACAGATCAAAACATTTTTTGAAAAATAATGGTTGGCATTTGCAAGCTTTTTTACTTCACCTTCCACACAGATGTACTTGTGTCTCCATTCAATGCCATCTGTTCTCTGCACAGCTTTGCCTTCTCGCACAGAAATTATCTTGTCTGTCCAGCTAATAGAGAGAGGAAAATAATAAATACCTGTATGTAAAACCCCTCTAGATGAACATATGCAGTACGTATTACAAGCACAAAATGTATGCTAGAAATGTGAGGGATAAAACTGCAAACAAAGATATATACAAAACACAGACAGAGAGGGCGCAAATGCCTAGCGCACCATTTTCGACACTTTACTGAAGGATTTGGAAGACAAACGAGCTAAAAAGGCATGTAAATGCATAAAGCACACAAGGCAAGAGTCCGCTCTCCGCCTTCAACTGGAGACAATGACAGCTGACATGTTTCGGGGACCGATTCCCCTTCCTCAGAACTATGATTACATGGTTATAAATATCCTTAAAACCACTGCCCCCCATCCTACCTATACTGTACAGTGATGGTAAAAATAAAGATATAAATACTTTATTTCAATCTAGGGCTGAAACAATTAATCAACATAATCAATGAAAATAGTTGTCAACTGATTAGTTGGCCTGAGTACAGAATGCATTATTTGTTTACATATCAGAAAATACAGTACAGCACACATACAGCTCAGTACTCTATTCACATGTCAGCAAGTGCCTGAGAACTTATGAATGTGTGAGGAGCAATGCCCCATGGGACATGCAGTCCTGGACAGGAGAAGGAAGTGATTCTAAAAAGGAAGATTTTTTTCCCCCCCCCTTGCTATAGGGGCACTCTGAAGGCAGGAGGAGCCAGAAGCGCTGACGGGGGACCCTAGAAGGGAATCGTGGCTGCTCTCTGCAAAACTATTACACAGAGCATGTAAGTGTAACATGTTTGTTGTTTAACGGCCTCCCACCTGCCATATAGGGAAATGACAAGACGGATGGGAGCTCTCTTGTTCTGGGAGGACGACGTGACGTCCTTGCACTATAGCCGCGCATGCACGCCCCAGGGGGAATGCAGAGATTGGTGGTGCGCTGGTGTGGAGGAGCTGCATTTCATTGATGGCATCATGAATTCAAAGATGTTCTGCTCTATAGTGAAAGAAAAGATGCTACCATCACTCCGTGCCCAAACTTTTTCCAAGATGACAGAAAACACATCTAAGGCCACTGTTGCATTTCTGAAGAAGAACAGGATGAAAGTGATTCAGTGGCCAAGTATGTCTCCTGATCTGAACCCAACTGAACACCTATGGGGAATTCTGAAGAGACACGTTGAGCTTCACTCTCCATCCAGGCTCTTAAAAAGAGGTCGTTGAAGAATAGAAAAAAAAAAATAGATGTTGCAATATGTCGCTACTTGCATACCTAGAAGACTTGGTGTTGTCCTTACAAATCATGGAAGTCATACAAAATACTAGATGTAGTAGATTTTGTTGTGGGTGTATTCATTTTTGCATAAATCTAAGTCAAACTTAAGATTTTGTAATCCAAGTTATATTATTAACCTTCATTTTATGTAATGAACTAAACAAACGTTCTATAAAAATCATATATATTTATTCTCTATCTATATTTTGCTCCTTAACCATATACAGTAGCTGGTTAATTATTATTATTATACAGGATTTATATAGCGCCAACAGTTTGCTCAGCGCTTTACAATATAACGGGAGACAATACAGCAACAATACAGTTCCATACAAGAGGGAAAGGAGGGCCCTGCTCCTTGGAGCTTACAATCTAGGAGTATATTTACCACTACATATATTCAAGAATAAAAGTTTTTTTAAACTGTACATATTAACTAAATTATACACCACAGTATTTTTGAGGTTTTTATCCAATTAATCGAAATAACCAGTCAACTAATTGATTATGAAAATAATCGTTAGTTGCAACCCTATTTCATTCTGCTCCAGTCCAGTCACAAGATGGAGAGGATTCAGCTCCTCTGTGTCAATGGAGTGGCTGCTGCAGGGCAGGTAGAGGAGGAAGCACCAACAATGGATGGGCAATGGATGCCAGTGGGTGACAGAAAAGCTCCTGGAATTCAGTCCCTTTGTCAAGCAACAACTCCATGACATAGGGGAACCAGAGTTCCTCCTCTTTCCACATTCCATTGTTAAGGCTATACGTCAAACCACCAGATCCATCAACAGTTATAACACTGACTCCACAATCCATCAAATATTAACTCCTTGGTGCTGGCGCCTCCCAGCCCTTTAAGGGTTTCAGAAGCCGGGAGGTGGGGCGGGGTTTTAGGGTCATGTGACCGCCGTGCTTCGCTGTCATGGCGGTCACATGATCGGAAAAGGTCCTGATCAAAAGAAATCGGGACCTTTCCGTGAGTACTGGACATGTGTGCTGGGAGCGCGCGCTCTCAGCACATATGTTTTTCTTAATTGCACGCAAATGTGCGGCCATTCGGCGTCAAGGCCCAGATGCTGAGAGGCCGCACATTTGCGTGCAGCCAGAGCGAAGAGGTTAAGCAAGAAAAGTCGCTGAGGAAGCTGAATTATCAGTATACTAGCTTCAAACAACAAAACGAGGTTATACCCTTATCCGGATTAATTTCTTATTTAAGTGAAACCCACATTTTTTACCCAGATGAAAGCGGGGGGGGGGGGGGGGGGGCAGTCCTTACTTTCCACATCCAACCAAAAGTTGTGGATTTCACTTACGCATAGAGCAAATAGGTGTGCGGTGAGGAGAACTATAAGTATTTGGGTAACCTAATAATATGATTTTTTATTTTTATGTGGTGTTATTGAAAGCTAATTGATCTTAACTGTAATGGTTTGGTTGGGTACCTTAAAAAAAGTCTGCTTTTGTTTGACTCTCTATTATGGGTCAAGGAACTACAAATTAAAGTATTATTTTTGTGGACAAATGCAAAAAACTCTTGTGACAGCCATGATATGATATCATCAGATAATAAACTACTCTGCCGTGAAGCTAGCATTAGATGAGGCCAAAATACTTACCTGGTAGAAAAAAAGAGAGAACATGTAAACAGGAGACCAGGTGACAAAGAGTAAGACCTGATTCTTGAGACCATAGGCTTGGATGATGGTCTGTCCAAGCCACCTAGACATAGTAGAACTAGAGAGAAACTTATACAGCCTGTACTACATTCAGACAAGCCAGGGAAATTTTCCTTTGCTGAATTGGAGATGAACAGAGGGACAGAAGAACAATAATCCGAGTAATGTAAAAGGCAGAAACTACCTTAGGCATGAAGGATGTCCTGGGCCCCAAGACCATAGGATAACCCCTGTACGAAGGACTCTAAGAGTGAGAAGTCAACAGTCTCTGAAACAGGATAGCAAGGACAAGATCTTCAACCTTGATACTGCCAAATGCTAGTGTTGAACCAGCTACAGGGGGAAAGAAGAAGAAAAAAAAAAAAAAAAAGAATTCTTCCCACAAAAACTCCTCGTGTGGAAACCCTGAGACTCACACCAAGTTAAGTAAGCCTTCCATATCAGATAACCTTGCTGAAAGTAGGCATCCAAGCTTTTAGCACCTTGGGAATTACAGATTTCAGAACCTAGGCAACTATAAAGCATGATGGCAAATTGGGCCTTGGGAAAGAAGATCCTGCTGATCTTGCAGAGCATCTGTCAGAAGTCTTACAGGGTAAGTGTATCAGATTCACCTGGACCAGCCTGGAGCAATCAGGATCACCAGATTGATCTCCATCTTGATCCTGCAAAGCAGGCAAGAAAGGAAAGGCATAAAAATCCTTGATGATTCACTGGAGCCCTCAGAGTATCCACTGTTTCAGTTAGAGCAGGGGTCTCCAAACTTTTTAAGCAAAGGGCCAGTTTATGGTGCTTTAGGGGGCCAGACTGTGGCCAGTGGGAGTAGAAAATGCCCCAGCATCAGTGCCATCATTGGTTTTAAAAGGGAGGAAAAGTTCCCTATTGTTGAGATCAATGAAAAACTGCTCCACTGATGTTAGTAGGGGGATTGGTGCCTGGAGACAAAACTGTACAGTAGGTTTTTGAACCTGGAGGCGCATATCCAGTGTCCTTCACCTGCAACACCTCAGGGTCCAGGCTCTCTCAGCTAATGAAATCTGACTGGCATCTGTCTACACATGGAATGTACAGGGCAAAAAAGAATGGAATGCGAGCAGAACAGATAGAAGATCAAAATTCTACCTGGCTCTTTGCAAGCAGGAGCAGTGCGGAGATGCTTCCTCAGTGCTGTATGACAGTAAAGTGAGGCGCCTAAGCATAACACTCCACACAGCAAATTATATCAGCACCCAGTTCCACAATGTTAATACCTTCCATGGCAAAAAAAAGACAGGAACAGGGAATAAACCCAGTGACCTATGTAAATAAGGTAGATCTTGGAGCCTAGAAAGTGCCCCATGCAGACCCAGAGCCAGTCCAGTAAGGTTCAAATAAAGTACATGAAAACCAGGCTGAGGATAAGCGTACTAGGTAGATGCAATCAAAGACACAAAGCTCCAGCATTGATGTAGAGAAGAGTCTTGAGTGAAGAAAAAAAAGAAAAGAAAAAAGTGCTACCAAAAAATAGGCCTTTTTCCTCCTTGAACAGTAGCAACAAAACTGAGGCATGCTAGTAGAGGGGTTATCCTGGGTGGCATACAGTTTTTGTTCGCCAGTGTCCTACCCTCCTGAAGGTGTCAGCATAAACTGAAAGGTTGAAGAATTCCCGTGTTCCACAACAGAGAACAAAAACACCATTTGCAAAGTTTAACCATTTCAAATCCCTGTACAAAAAAAATTGCTAAAAAAGGAAGAGTTATGTAAAAACAAGAACACAAATGAGTTAAGACTGGTGCTCTATAATCAACTAACTTACTCAAACTCCGTAGCAAAATATTTTAGGAAACCCACAAACAGGTCTCCCAAGGAGGTGCTATTTTTGGACTGGTACTTTGGAATATGGCGAGGAGCAAGGTGTACAAGGTGCAGCTGCATCGAAGGGTTAAAACATTCCTGAAAAGATCAAAAAAAAAAAACCCATTAAGAATAATTAAAAAAACAAATCTCTCTCTCTCTAACAAAATCCACTTTTGCAGTTCTTGACATCACTACGATAATTCAGGTAATATGTCTATTTTCAGTGGCACAGGAAACCAGTTCATAGGTATTGTGAGTCATTCATTCCTGTACACATTTCAGTATTATACTTTGTCATGCACCTTTATGTCTACAAAAAAGGTTTAGTGAACCTTTTATTTTTAATGTAAGTTATCAGTGTATTACATAATATTCGATATAGAAATACTTTTGTATTAATAAGTTATTTACGTTCTGTCCCAAGATTGAATGTCTGGATCCCTGGAATTGGGGAGGGATTATTATAGGGCCTTTAGTATCTAAAGTGAATTGAAACTGTTTAATGTTTACATGAGCAAGTTCAGACGGAGCTAAAAATTATTTTAAAACAGAACTCCAGTTAATTTTTTTTTTTTGTTATTTCTTGCCATGCAGATGGGCTGTGCATGATTCAGCTACTCGTTTTTTCTAGGAGTGAGGACTAAGCTCATACTCACCTGACCCGCTGTTCCCCCAAACTACTCTCCCCCCATGGTCCAGCAGAGGAGGATCAGTGGGTCAGGTGAGTATATCTTTGGTGTCTTCTCCCTTAGAACAAAGCAAGCATTTAACCTGTGCAGTGCAGGCACAGCCTTACTGCATGGGCAAAAAAAAAAAAAAAAAAATTCCCCATATTTCAGCTTTAAGAGTATACCTGCCAGGTGAAAAATCTAGAGGCTACTGCCACTGCAGTTCTGCACCCAAAAAAAATCAAGTTGTCTTGCTGCCTGGGACTCAATACTTTGATTCACTGTCAAGAAGAAGCATGCAGCTACTGAAGTCAGAGAGGATTCAGAACTTCTGAACATCTATGAAAACTATGATTTTCGCAGGCAGAGAAAAAAAAATAATAGGTTGCATATTTTCTGGGCACAGGATTTCATTACAGTGAACCTTTCCATTTCCAAAGCATCCAAGTTATGAAGGTTCTACTAAATTAGCAGTTTCAAGCGCACTCCTCCTTTCTGCAAAAATGTGTGATCTGAGCACACTAAATTGTGCAGTTAAGTAGATTTAAAGGATATGTTCACCTTCAGGAACACGTTACAAGTTGCATCCTAAAAATGGGTGGAACATGTAACATCTTCCTGCTCCTGCAGCCGCTCACTGATCCCCTCTCTCCCTGTGACAGCAGTACGAGGAGAAGTTCCCCGTACCGGCTGTCACTGTTTGTAAATAGCACGGCCGTGTGGGCCTCCAACGCGCTACTCATTCACAGAATTCTGTGAATGGGAAAACTACAAGCACCAACATCCTGTGCGGCTGTCTGCTTGTAGTTCTCAACGATCTACCCTGGGCGCTCTTGAGCGCTCTGGAGTTCATTGATTTTTCTGGTCAGAGTGAAACTGCCAATTGCTGGTGCAATGCTTTCCAGGCTGCTAAAAAATAAATAGTAAATTCACATTTTATCTGCAAAAAGATGTGTATTTATTTTTTTTTTTTTAAAAAAAGGTGATTATACATAGACCAGTGACACAAGACTTTTACAGGAAGGTCTTGGAGGGGCTCAGACTGACAGCCTTGCTTTATCTCCTTTCTATAGCATAAGACGACAATGACCAACCAGGGTCTTGGGAGCCAAAGTGGAGCAGTGTTTTCATTAAATATACCCCAGTGAATAGTTCATATTTGGCAATGCTTGCTCTGTAAGCATTGGTAAAAGAAAGGGTTACTTTTTGTGACCTTGTTTTAAACATAAAATAGCAAAATTATAAATTTGTGTCAAGCAGAGAAATCTCAGTGCAGACATGGGCTATTAATTAGCTCCATATTGTGGCATGTCTTATAATAGTTAGGCAACTACTTACTAAGCAATGTGACTTTTTATCAATGTTTTTACAGTGGGCCTACAAGTGTTTTTTTCATGATTTTTTTCTCTAAAAATATAATTTGTATATTTTGCCACTGTAGACAATGAAAGTCTACAATCCGTATATAAAATATGGTACATAATGTGAATTACAGCAAAATAACTGAAGCAAAATATTTTAATAACAAGCCAGCTCACTGGTGGTTACCCCTGTAAGTAGGCATTCCAGGTAACTGAAGTTTTGTTATGTGCTATAACCCTCCCCTAATGAGCTATACTATACCAGTGACACTGAATTTAGATAAATTTCCCCATGCTGAACAGTAAAGCCATAAATAAAAAAAAAAAGGAAATACGCTGTACTTACTGGGTAGTCTTTCTGTAGAGATGGAAGAACTGGTTCAGGTAGAGCTACAAAAAGAGAAACATTTTACTCAACTTGACAGCTTTTAATACAGTTATACATGAAATCATTTCTCCAGCGTGAAAATGTGCATTGAGGGATAGAAAAATACTTTCTTACAGTCATGCTCCATCATATGGCACATGGCTTGCACACAGGTATCTCCATTATCATACAGGATTCATATAGTGTCAGTTTGTCTAATGCTTTACAAAATAAAAGGGAGGCCATACAATACAACACAAGACAAGAGGGTTGGGAGGGCCCCCTTGGAAAGTGAATGTTTCAAGCATTATAACACTGTCAATTGAAAGGGTTACTTTTTGTAAATTTTTACAAATACATAGCACCCCATCTGTGGAAGAAAACACTGTTATGGTGTCCATCAAGCTTCTAAATTCATGAGACCAGAGATAGTCATTCTGATCTGAACATGTTTTATTAAACATGCTCTGATGCCATTAATTCCAGTGCAGAGCCCACATCCCTGCACGGATCATAATGCCACGAAACAGCAGTCCACTACTAGAGTGTAGGGGAGCAGTAGTGACTGGCAGCTGCTGGGGAGGAAAGGATTGGGCACGTGAAACAGCTTATTGTGGTCCTCTAGACCTAAATAAGCAGCCCACTCAGAAGGAGCATTTTTCATTGCCCAGAGATGGGTTTAAAAAGGCCCTAGAGTTTGTCCGAAAACACTGAAACAGTTTCATAAAGCTACTGAAGAAGTCAAAAGCACTAATGAATAAGTTCAAAATCAGCAATTAAAAAAAAAAAAAAAAAAAAAAAAAGTACTAATTGTATAACACACACGTTGTATTTGAGGATTAATGTCATTATTGAACAACAGTGCTCTCGGTCAATCCAAAATGTTAATAAACCTCTAACTTGTATATTTAAGAAAGTAAAAGTGAGGTTTGGGCTTTCTTAGAAGAACATCTATGTGTGCACAATTATTAGGCAACTATTAGTGTGCAAAATTATTATGCGACTAAATGAAAAATTTCCCATCTCACTTGTTTATTTTCATCTATTAAAGTGAGAATAATAAACAAAACTCAAAATTTACAAATAAACATTTCTTATATTTAAAAAAAAAAAATAAATCAGTGACCAAACAGTTACCCTTTTTTTCAATACCATTCATAAGCCTTCCATTCATGAAGTCTGTCAGTTTCTTGATCTGCTGACGATCAACTTTTTTTGGTCACTCATCTCATCAATCCATAAAACCTCTGAAAATATCTGTCTTCAGATATCTCTTGGCCTAGTCTCGATGTTTCAACTCATGTGTCTTGCTCAGTGGTGGTCGGGTTTCAGCCTTCCTTACCTTGGCCATAGCTGAGCACTGAACAGCTTGTACTTTGGGCACTCCAGGTAGGTTTCAGTTCTGCAATATGACAGCACTGGAGGATAATGGGTTCCTGGTAGTTTCAAATTTGATTCTTCACAAAATCTTTGGCAGTTAATTTGCATCTTTTTTTTTTCCAACACGTTTCTTGCGACCATGTTTGCAACAAAATATTTGATGGTTCTGTGATCATGCTCCAATATCTTAGTAATATCAAGAGTGCTGCATCCCTCTGAAAGACTTTTTACAAAGTTTGACTTAACCCTCCCTCGTTACACAAATACACATCACCTGATATGCTTAAATCCAATAAACATTCAAGTTTATACAGCTTGGAGTTGGACAATATGATTTGATCAACATACCCATTTGCCTAATAATTGTGCACACAGTGTTTATATATATTTAAACACACACACAATAGGGAAACACTACATGATCTGCAGGTATGAAAGTGATGGCATGTTTTGTGTTGAAAGTGGAAGTGATGTAACATTCTTTTGCTTCTGCTGTGTGATGAGACACCTAGTTAACAGGTGGAAAGCCTCAATTTTGTCATTCACTGCATGCGCTGTTAGTAATACAAAGTCATGTCAGAGCTTACTCTGTTTCAAAGAGGGCAAATTGTTGGTGCCCTGTGAATGAAGTTGCCAATTTATGTGCGGTGTCGCGAAGTACACTATTAAACGTTACAACAGCATACAGTCATGGCCAAAAATATTGGCACCCCCGTATTTCTGTCAGATAAGGCACCACTTCACCCAGAAAACCGTTGCAATTACAAATGTTTAGGCATTCTCATGTTTATTTCTTTTGTTTGTATTGGTATGACACAAAAAAGTCAAGAAACAAAATGTCAAATCTGACAAACATTCTATGCAAAACTCCAAAAACGGACTGGACAAAATTATTGACACCCTCAATTTAATATTAGATTGCAAGCTCCCTGGAGCAGGGCCTCCTAAACCTCTTGTATTGAACTGTATTGTTGCTGTATTGTCTCCCTTTATATTATAAAGCATTGAGCAAACTGTTGACGCTATATATAAATCCTGTATAATAATAATAGTAATAATAATAAATACACCCCTTGGAGAAAATGACTGAAATCAAATTTCTTCCTGTAACCATCATTGAGTTTCTTACACCTGTCTATTGGAATTTTGGACCACTCTAGTTTTGCCAACTGCTCCAGGTCTCTCAGATTGGAAGGGTTCTTTTCCCATCTGCTGTTTTGCGATCTCTCCACAGGTGCTCTATGGGATTGAGATCTGGACTCCTTGCTGACCAGTTCAGTACTCTTCGGAGCTTTATCTGAAACCATTTCTGGGTGCTTTTTGACATGTGCTTTGGGTCATTGTCCTGCTGTAGGACCCATGACCTCTGACAGAGACCCAACTTTCTGACACTGGGCCCTACATTGCACCACAAAATTCTTTGGTAGTCTTCAGATTTCATAATGCCATTCACACGGTCAGTACCTGAAGCAGCAAAGCAACCCCAAAACATCAGTGAACCTCCACCATGTTTGACTGCAGGGACTGTATTCTTTTCTTTAAAAGGCCTCATTTCTTTTTCTGAAAACAGTAGGATGATGGGCTTTACTAAAAAGCTGTAATTTCGTTTTGCCTGTCCACAGCACATTCTCCCAAAAGGAGTTTGGCTTCCTCAGGAAAGTTTTGGCAAACTCCAATCTGGCTTTTTGTTTCTGTGTCAGCAGTGGGTCTCCTACCAAAGCATCCGTTTTCATTCAGATGGCAATGCAGTTGTACCATGTGCCTGAAGGTCAGCTTGAATTTGTCTGGAAGTTGAAGGAGGTTCTTTAGCCACCATTCGAACAATCCTTTGTTGCAATTTTTGATCAATTTTTCTCTTTCTTCCACATCCAGGGAGATTAGCTCCAGTGCCATAAGCTTTAAACTTCTTGACAATGTTGCGCACAGTGGACACAGGAATATTAAGATCTGTGAAGATAGACTTGTAACCTTGAGATTGTCCATGCTTTTCCACAATTTTTTTCTCAAATCTTCAGACAATTCTTTGCTGCTCTCTCTCTTCTTTGGTCAACTGACCAAGAAAGACAAAGTGTGTCAGATTGTGACCCGGAATAAGAAAACAATTGCTAAATATATATACACACACATTGCCAAAAAGTATTAGGACACCCCACCAAATCATTGGATTCAGGTGTTCCAATCACCTCCATGGCCACAGGTGTATAAAATCAAGCACGCAGGCATGCAGACTACTTCTACAAACATTTGAGAAAGAATGTGTCGCTCTCAGGAGCTCAGTGAATTCAAGCGTGGTACCGTGATAGGTTGCCACCTGTGCAATAAGTCCATCCATGACATCTCCTTACTACTAAATGAACTGTTAGTGGTATTATAACAAAGTGGAAGCAAGTGGGAATAACAGCAACTCAGCCACAAAGTGGTAGGCCATGTAAAATGATAGAATGGGGTCAGTGCACAGAAGTCGCCAATTGTCTGCAGAGTCAATAGCTAAAGATCTCCAAACTTCATGTGGCCTTCAGATTAGCACAACAGTATGTAGAGAGCTTCATGGAATGGGTTTTCATGACCGAGCAGCTGTATTCAAGCCTTACATCACCAAATGCAATGGTGTAAAGCACGTCACCACTGGACTCTAGAGTAGAGGAGACACACTTCTAAACCTTGTGAACAGCCTTCCCAGAAAAGTTGAAGCCATTATAGTTGGGTGGGCTAACTCAATATTGAACCCTACGGACTAAGACTGGGATGCCATTAAAGTTCATGTGCGTGTAAAGGCATGCGTCCCAATACTTTTGGAGATATATATATCTATCTATATATATATAAATAATGCAGGATACACAGAAGACATGTAAAACAATTTTGCTGTAGTAGGGCCAACAATGCTCACCACCCTGTGAACACCCCTAGTGCTCCCAATACAGGCATTTCTAGAAGCAATCCTGTTTTAATCTACAAGAGACCAAACTGTGGTCCATCTTCCAGTAGAACAAGAAAAACACCAAGATCCCAAATGTCTTTGAGAGGTCCACTCAAAGCCCAGACTTCAATCTAGCATAGAACCTGTGGAAACTGTTACCAACAGTTCCCACTGACAACAGGCAAAAAAACTGTACAATGTAGTTGTGCAGATCTGGTAGGGACTTATTAGAAAAGTCTAGCAGCTATAACTAAAACCTAAAAATGCAGATGTAAATAAAATGTTCCTTTGGTAAACATTTTATCGCTCTGTAAAAATATTTTGAGCCTTCAAACAGTTAAATTAATTTCAATTCTTGGTTGTAAAATACAAATTGTGGAATAGGCCAACGTGGGTGCATGCATATGCAAAGCACTCTAGGTAATTCACCAGTTTGGCTCTGAAGCAATGTTTTAATTTTTTGCACATATGTAAAAATCTGCATTTTTGGTCATAAAACCAAAAGATACATTTAGAAAAGCAGAGACCCTGAAGAATAAAGAACTAGCAGTAGCAAGTTATGTTGCATTATCAAATTTTTTAGGAAAAAATATCAAATGAGTTTATAGGCAAACAAGCACATAAATATAATACCTAATTTTTCAGTAGAATATAAAAGATGTGTTTACGTCAAGTGGAGACCAAACATGCCATGTCTTAAAATTATGTACGCCTGTTGATAGTATAAAAACTATGGTACACAAATATCTCCATAGATGACACTTTAAAAGCCTTTATTGCTGATCGGTTAAGAGATAACTCTGGGCTAGGGTGCTAGAATAATTGCTCTCACCCTACATTTGCAGTGATACCTCACGTGTGGTTGTGGTATTCATATATGTGCACCAAGAGAAACAGGACAGCCCGGCGATCATGTGGGGGGGGTTGTTGCGGAGAATAACACTGCCCACAATGTAAAAAGTGATGACTTACTTTACAGCCAGAAGCTGGTTGAACAAAATGAGCACAAGCTCATGGCTGCAAATTGCAGCCATGAAGTTGTACCTGAACCTTCACTGATAACTAAAACTACCCCTTTACTACTAATGTACATCCAAGTTGCAGTGCTTAAAAATTAATTGTTGGCAATATTTGCTTTTGGGGGAATTCAAGGACTCTGGTGGTGAGTTGTCTTCTTTCCAAGTATCAACACTGGTGACGATGGCCACTCCAAAAGTTCCAGCCTTTCCTCCAAATTTGAGGTTTTTCTGTTATTCCCAAGCCTCAGGTGTGTGACGGACTGCATCACGTTTCCATCCAATATCTCCTGGTATGAAGAGAATTCATGGGAGCTTCCCTGTACCTGCAGAAAAGCAACATCCACCATGCTTCACAGTAGGCAAGTTCTTTTCATCATAGGCCTTGTTCTTCCTCCTCCAAACATAGCGTTGATCCATGGGCCCAAACAGTTCTAATTTTGTTTCATCAGTCCACAGAACAGAGCCATGGCTTTTGGCATACTGCAACTTATTCTTTGGAGACAGCAATGGCTGGGAGTTCTGGCACAGGCCTTCATTCAATAACAGAGCCCTCAATAGTTCCTCATATAAAGAAAACTGTAAAACAAGAAAAATACAAGGGCTGCAAATTCTGACCTCTTCCTGTAAACGTAGCCATCTCGGACCTCAACACATGGAGCCACTAACGCAAGATGAAGCACGCTGCAAATGAAGCCAAAGTAAAGTCAGGATTCCTGATCTGTAGACTTAGGACAGTGACTCAATAGACACTGGAGTTAGACAGCCAGAGTGACAGGCAGGGGTGAGGAACGCACAGCACGACCAGGTAGCCGTTCAACAGTGCCCTTTGCCTTGAATTTGCGAATGATGCTTCCTAAGGTGTCTCTTGGTATGTTTAACATCTTTGCAATCTTCTTATAGCCATTGCCCTTCCTGTGAAGAGAAATCACCTCTTCTCTTGTCTTCCTGGACCATTCTCTTTGCCTTCACCATGTTTGTAACCACACCAGTAAATGTCTAGAAGGAGCTGAGTATCACAGTCATTTTAAAGCTGCCTAATTGGTGCTTATTATGCTTGATTGGTGATCCACAGGTGTTTTCAATACCTGATGGAAAGCACCTGTATGAACCTCTGTTCTTCAGAGTGGTAGTCTTTAAGGGTTGAATAATTGTGGCAATGAAGAAACCACATAAGAACCATTTACTAGCATTGATGTCATTTTAGTTGCATTTGGGTAGTTACAACGTCCTTGTAGGATTTGATTCTGAATACAACTATAGTCCCTAAACCCCTTTACAGCATTGGGGGTTGAATAATTTTGGACACAACTGTATACACACCTGCAGCAGACACTCCCAATTTGATTTTTTTCAACACTGGAATCCAAAGCCAATCTGTGCTGGGGGGTGATATATTTTGACCTCTTCCTGTAAACGCTAGCCATCGGACCTCAACACATACAACAGAAAACTGAAGCCAAAAAAGTTTTCTCTGGACTGCCACTTAGTTAGGCAGAGTGACAGGCAGGTGGACACGGGTGACGTTTCTTGGAACTGTATATTTTTCCAGGCAATCATTGCCCCACGGGTGATCTTCACTGTAGGTGATCACTAGTGGATTACTACACATTCAGTTAAATGAATGATGAATGAGTGATCAATCATTACATTTGGAGAATTGTGCTACTATTAGTGATTATTGCTATATGCTAAAATCCATTGTTCCCTGTGTGTTGCCATCTTTAGTAATTAATCATAGGCAATGATCACCAGAACACAAATCACCCACGTGTGCCTAGTCTTAAAGCGGAAGGAAAAAAAATAAGTAAAAAAAAAAAAAAAAAAAAAATTAAAAAATTTTGCCAGCAGGCAGGGTCTTTAGGTAAATATGTACTCACAGTACAGTGGAGCCAAGTACCGAAATAGTGTTACTCCAGCTTGTATGCTTAGGAGTTACAATAACAGTGCCCGCTCAATGGGCAAAGTAAGAAGACCCATAAGAGGAAGATAACAGGGCACCCATGGGGATGCAGTGGATGCGGGGAGCTAGGAAGTCAGTGCTGGAGGAGCACACACTCAGATGTAAGCGTTTCATAATGTGCAAGTATGCAAGTGAGAATACTGGCTGTCCCACCACCCCTCAACTACTGCTTTATTGTTTTCTCAGGCTATAAATGGTTCTTACCACTGCAACTACTACAATGCTCTGTGCATTATCCGGACCTATGCAACAAAGACATTCAGGCCTGTAAGTTCTAAAAATGTACAAAGTTTATTGTAATATAGAAAACAATAAAATGATACAGTTTGCACACCTATATCTCCTTTCAAATGAGATTTTAATTTTGACAGATACTGAACAATCACAATCCAGGATTTCAATATGATGCAAAGGTAACTCAGGACTCTGCAGAGATGTCTTCCCCCTCATTTTAGCCCACTCCCTGTTCATCTTTCCACAAAGCCCTTTTGCCTCCTGTGTATGGCTAATCATGCAAACAGTGCCTTTCTTCACTAATGATGACTGTTCTGTTGCAGAGTCAGTTAACAGCTGTGAGTAACAGTCAGGCCCACAGGGAGAAAAGGATCAGACTCAGCCCACACAAGATCCAGCCAACACACTCTTCACTTCCCAGACAAAGCTCTGCACAGAGTAAGATCACCTGCTGTGCACATTTATCTACAAAAACGCCATGAAATAAGATGAGCTACTTACTTTGTAAATAGTGCAAAACCATTAAAACAAGACTATAGCTGCTCAGGGTTCCACGGCTGGCATCATTTATGCCATGGTGACTGGCCCACCTCTTAACAACCAGAACTAAAGGTCGAACGCGGCTCTCTACTGCAAAATCAGAGGGAGAGAGGCTGATTAGCTTCACTTACTGTTACCACTGTTATCAATACATTTCAGAAGATATGTTGAGAAGACTTGTGCTTCAGTACATTCACTTGTCTGTGCATGTGCAGCTGCTTTACAATGGAACAAAAGGCAGACTAGTCTGCAACCTTACAAGAACACAGTATTTTAGAGGCTCAGGACATTGAAGCCTCGACATTTAGGGGCTCCTAAGCAATGGAGACTACAGGGTCATTATTTGAAAATGGCTGAGCACCTAAGCTTTAGTTATTTTAAAATGTGACACCAGGGGCGGACAACTCATGGGGCCCCTGGGCAATAGGGGATCATGGGGCCCCTGTGTCCTTACCCAAACTCAAAAAAGCCTATGAAAAAAGGTACCAGGGGCATGTCATGGGGCCCCCTACTGAACCCGGGCCCTCGGGCAGTGCCCGAGTTTCCAAATGGTCAGTCTGCCCCTGTGTGACACGATGCAATTAGGTCATCCTTAGGGCTCAATAGATATTTGTATCAAATGCTTTCAATAGAATGCATGCATGCTTTGTTCAAACGAAAAAAAAATGCAGAATTCAACAATAAGGAGGTAAAATTCAGCTTCTGAACTGTCATGTGTACTGCACCAATAAAGTCATTGGGATTTTGCTGACCTGTGTTTGATGCGTGTTCCAAATTGGAACATGAGCAATAGCTCATGTTGATGGGCGTTTCTTTCATGCAATTCCAATTTGCACAAAAAACACCCATCAACATGAGCTCTTGCTCATTTTTATGAAGAGGAAGATTGTACTTACTTTGTGCATAGGTTCGGAGAAGGAATGTGTTTCTGATTCCCACAACATTGTTTACATTCAAGTCAAACTCCACACCACTAGCAAAAACAAAAACCACAAGTAAATGATGACGCTAAAAGAAGCAATTTTACAGCATGACACGGATTTGTAGCTAAAGGTTCATGTGTACATTAAATCAATGATTAAAAGATAGCACTGCTAAATAATAAAAAAAAACAAAAAAAAAAAAAAAAACACACACAGACACACAGTCTTGTTCAGTGACTTGGGCAGCTGTACATTGTGGCAAAAATTATCCTGTCCATTGTGTTTGGCAGGCAGTACTGCCCACTAAATGCAACCTATGCAAACAAATAGGGCTGCACCTCAGCTGCATGCAATGTGCCTGGTTTCAATGAGGGCATGCAGACTTTTAGAGTTAAAACAGTCAGTGAGGAGGCAACAAAATACTTCCCTACCTCCTGTCAAATGCCCTCTGAAAAGGGGTCTACGCAAATTGCTCTTCAGAGGGCTAAAGCAAGAATAAATGAGCCCTAGATGTCTGAAGTTAATACAGGTCTGCTGTGATGGCAAGCCTTGAATAAAATCAGCCTCTTTAATACACGGTTTGACAATTTGTCAGTACATTTTGTTAATACTCATAAGGCTAAATTCACACAGCTAATACACAAGGATAAGGGTCTTTATTTTCCAAGTGTCGGTTTTTAGCCAAGTCCAACTAAATTTGAAAAAACTACAGTTGCACGGCTGAAATAAAGAACTTTACCTTTGTGTAAAGTTCCATGCATCACATCCAATATATAGCAAATAAAAGCAGCAGTCAGGAAAATGTTTAAAGAGTACTCATAACTGGTTTTGTGCACGTATCTGTATAATTAGGGCTCATTCAGATGAGTGCCGAGACCTGTACTGTGTGCTGAGCTGCTTTTTGCTGCATCTGCATCCACATCAGAGTTGTGTGCAGGCAGCCCACTAAAGTGGATGCAGATGCAGCAGCTGCACGATCACAGTCACATGTCAAAATTTGACATTTGGGCAGGAGCTGAACGGATACAAATGCAGACACTGACATGTTTTAGTTCAATCTTATTTTATTAAATCTGAGATGTGAAGAACAGAGATTAGTGGTACATATTACTTTGATACTTGGCACAAGAATGGTTTCAGCAGTCTGAAAGACTTCACTCAGTATAGATCAACATTAAGTATATATCCCCAAAGCCCATATTAATAGCAAATGTACCAATAACATATGGTATAGGGGGACAGAACTACTATCATGTAACAAGGAATTAAAAAGTGTGGTAAGAAACACATCCGACTTTTAACTGTCCCGTATGTGTCATCTTGGAGAAAAGATGAAGTCAAAAGGTAAAGAGATGACTATGTAAGGTAATTGGGGTTGCTATGGAAAAAAGCAGCGTAAAAAGTAAGCAAGGATAAGATCAAAGAAACTCCATCATGGCTGAGGGTTATTAAGGGTCCAGTCTTCCTTGGTCCAGACCACTAACATTTTTTACATGTAACCATTTGTGCAGATGCTGTGTCTACATCCACTTCTATGGGCTGCCTGCACGCAGCTACACGGTGGATGAAGATGCAGAAAAAAGTGGCTTGGCATGCAGGGGGGAGCCTCCTAGCCTCTTTTATTTAACATTACTTAAAATGGAACCTAAAGTTACCAACTGTCAGTCTTCCGACACAATCAGATGGTGGCAGACAGTATGTGAGGTCAGGCAGTACACAGACAGTTATAATTTCAGACTGAATATTCATGCTACATTAGCACAATAGTGACTGTTCCATTCTAATAACATACTAAATAATTATACCGCTACTTGATTTTTTTACATGAAATTTTTAAATCCTGTAGTCCGACAAGGAAAATACAAAAGCTGAATTTTAACAGACTATCATTCACAAACCGGTAAACAGAGCATTACCTGACTTTGTCCCTGAACTTTACAATTGGCACTTTTGCTCTGATAAGTTGAGGTCTTTCAATGTAAGCTAAAACAAAACATGCAAAGCATTAGCAAAGTACACAATTTAACTACATGTTCACATTAGTCTAAATCAGGGGTGTCAAACTGGCGGCCCTCCAGCTGTTGCAAAACTACAAGCCCCATCATGCCTCTGCCTTTGGGAGTCACGCTTGTAACTGTCAGCCTTGCAATGCCTCATGGGTCTTGTAGTTTGGCAACAGCTGGAGGGCCACCAGTTTGACACCCCTGGTCTAAATAAACAGTGCAAAATAAAGTCTATTTTTCAAAAACACAGAATACCAATTATTTACATCTCTGTAATTATAAAGAAAAAACATACTGGCAAATTTAGCATGGATAAAAAAAAAAAAAAAAAAAAAAATGTAGATACTTACAAAGTCGGGTGTAGAAATGTTTTTGGAGTAGCTGAGTATGTGTCTTGCTTCTGTTTTCTGATTCATCTGCCAAAAAACAAAAGTCTCATATGTTCAAAGGTGAAGAAAAGGTGTTGCAAAATGTTTTTTATACAACCACAACTTAATAAAATTAGAGGAATGAGTCTACTAGCCACTGTACAGAAGGCGCTGTACTGCGTTTCAGTCAGAGAACGTGTCTAAGAGAAACCACAACTACAAAATATTCATCAGTGAACTGTGTTGAGGTGAAGATGTAAAAAAATAAATAAATATATATTTATTATATATCTCCTCCACTCTGAGGAGAGATTGCCAGTCACCAGCTCTCTGCTCTGCATCACCAGCGTTCACTGAAGCACCAGTGTACATTGGCAAATATTTATTGTCCGAATAGAAACCCATTGACCTACTTGAGGAGGTTAATGGATTTCAAAATGGGTGATTTGATTGTGACAGGTTTAAATTTTGCATGGATTCCCAGATTGATACAAGGTCGCTTGGGCAGAGAGAGGAAGGCAGATGATTGAAATTATGCAGAGAGTTTTATTTCAATGCCAATTTTTGGATGTCTGGAAGGTGAAACATCCCAGAGATAGAGACTATACATTCTACTCTCCTGTACATGCGACATATTCTAGATTAGACTACATACTGGTAGAACATAGACTTATGGAGTCAGTGGTTAAAACAAATATAAAAGTTACAACTATATCAGATCATGCACCTGTCATGATGAAGTTACTCTGGGGAAGAGAGCAAGAAAAAAGAAACACGTGGAAATTAAACGAGACACTCCTTCAGGATCATGAGACAGAATTAAAAATAAAGGATGAGATCGAACAGTACTTTGAAAGAAATGAGACTGAATGAGTTGACAGTTACGATATGAGAAGCACATAAAGCACATATCAGGGGAATTTTGGTAGCAATAGGAGCAAAGAAAAAAAAAATCAATACGCTTCTAAGGGAACTATGCGAATTAGAACAGTTACATAAGAAGAGAACAAAAGAGATATACAGCAGAATATCATAAATAAGAGAGAGGAACTGTGTAACGTAATGGAGGAAGAAACAAGGAGAACATTTATTATGATGGCAAAAGAGAGATATCAGTGGGGGAGTAGACCTGGTAAATATCTAAAAAGAGAGCTCTTAGAAATAAGAAATCAAGGAAATATAATCGAGAAGATTAAAAGTGAGGATGGAGAACTGGTCTATTCTACCACTGGGAGCGCTAATGTATTTAAAAAATATTATAGTAAATTATATTATTTTAATCAAAACAATCAAAAGAGGGGGAAGAAGAAATAGAAAGACAGATGTACTTGAAGGAGGTGAGGCTATCGAAAGTGGAAGAGGAACGATTATTAGGTCTAGAAAAAACAATATCGGAAGAGGAAATTCAGGCGGCAATAAAGAGTACAGTATCGGGGAAGAGCCCGGGGCCACATGGGTATACTGTGAGGCATTATAAAAAATTTTTAAAGAACAACTAGTCCTCAAGTTGAGTCTATATATGAACGCTTTGGGAGAAGGGATGGAAATGAGGGAGAAATCATTACAAGCCTATATTACAATCATTCAGAAAGAGGGGAAGGATGGAACTCAATGTGCTAGCTATAAGCCCATCTCTTTGTTAAATACAGATACCAAACTATACGCAAAGGTCTTAGCAAATAGGTTGAAAGACCTAATGCTGGACTGGATTTACCTAGACAAGGTGGGGTTTGTCCCCAGGTGAGAGGGAAGAGATAATGGGTTGAGATCATTACTCCTCATTCAAAAAAGTAAGAAGTAAAAATCCCCCATCTTTATACTATCTGTAGACGCAGAGAAAGCTTTTGACAGGGTAGATTGGGATTTTATGTTAGGAACATTGGAAGTACTGGGAATTGGTTCCAAAATGAGAGAGTAGATAGGAAAGCTATATAGCCAACCCTCAGCAGCAGTAAAGGTTAACTGTTCATTTTCAGGGTTTTTCAGGATGTATAATGGAACAAGACAAGGGTGCCCACTCTCTCGCCGTTGCGGTTTGTCCTGTCTCTGGAACCTCTCTTAGCAACGATAAGAAATAATATAGACGTGAGGGGAATACGGATAAACCGAACATAAAGTGGCAGCGTATGTTGATGATATGCTATTTTATGTGGGCAATCCTAGGCTGACATTACCCAACTTGATGAAAGTAATGAAATATTATGGTGAGTTATCAAATTTAAAAATCAATCCGGTAAAATCAGAGCTTTTAAATGTTAGTGTTTCGAGAACCGAAAAGGAAGCGTTGTATAGAGAATTCCCTTTTCAATGGAGGGAAAAAGAGCTAAAGTATTTGGAAATAAAACTGGCCTCGCCTTAAAGAACTTGTATAAAACAAATTATATCCCATTAATAAATAAAATTTAAGAGATTAGCGGTAGAACCTACATCTTGGATAGAACAAATAAATTTGGTAAAAATGGTAATAGTCCCAAAAATATTATATAAATTTCACGATACCTATACAGCTACCAGGAACCTATTTTAAGATAATTAAAGAATATTGAGGTTTATATGGAAGAATAAAAGACCAAGAATAAGTTATGAAGTACTGTGTAGAGATAAAGGGAGTGGAGGATTAAACATGCCGGATCTTAGGAGATACTACCACTCAGTATTATTGTCAAGTATTTTGGATTGGACACATAATGCACTAAGAAAAACCTGGGTAAATATAGAAAACACATTAAGTGGGACACAGTTAAATAAGATGGTGTGGTTACCGCACCCGCACCGTAAGTTGGCAGAGACCACGAGCACTTATATACGAAATGTAATTAGGGTTTGGGACATAAGTCACAAACAAAAGGGGTGGAAGTTTAACTCTATAATGATGCTGTTGGCTGCCTCAGATTTTTTCCCACCAGGGAAAGAAAATATCTCAGGTAAATGGATAAAAAAAAAGGGAGATACACAATTAAAAGATATATTGAAAGGGTAAGGAATATGTTCCTTCCAAGAGCTGAAAAATAAGAAGGAACTGTTCTCCAGATTAGATGAGTGGCGGTGCATCCAATTAAGACACTGTTACAACGCTCCCCAAGCCCATTAGGACAACAGCAGACTTTAATCCACTTGAACAATTAGGAATTACTCCTCCCCTGTACATGGTAAAATGGGAAAGGTATTTTGGAATTGCAAAGGATGAGCAGTAGAAAAAGAAAATATATAGATTAGCACAGGGAGCTGTAGATATAAAGTTAGTAGAAATGAATTATAAGTGTTTAGCTAGGTGGTATATCACACCGAATGTGGCATATAGGCAACAAATAGACAAATCACCCTTGTACTGGAGGGGATGTGGGAGTGAGGGCACAATGGCTCATATTTGGTAGGAATGTCCTAGGATAAGGAAATATTGGGAAGAAATAGCACACCAAATACAGGGGATAACAGAGGTTGGTGTCCCGAAAGACCCATGCACGTTTATTCCATAAAACAGAAACCATGGTAGAAAAATATAAAAATACGGTGATATTCCATCTTATAAATGCGGCAAAGGGTCTCACCTAAATTTTGGCAAGAACAAGACGAACCGAAAATTAAGGACTGGATAAGTAGAGTAGACTATGTGTACAAGATGGAGGAACTCCGCCATATGGAAGAGGAAAAAAAACGGTGAGATTTCAGGAAAAATGGGAGGTATATAGAAAAATTATATAATGGAACAGATAAGGAGGGAGCAGGAAAGAAAAAAAAAAAAAAAAAAAAAAAAGGGATAGGTAGATTAGGAAGAAGGTGTAGGGAGTTTTAAAAGTATTTTAGAAATAAAGAGGAGCTGGGAGCTAAAAAGAACATATGGAGAAGTTGGGGGTGGGAAGGTAGGAGGAAAGTTGGGGGAGGAAAGTTGGGGGTGGGAAGAGGAGAGGGGGAATATATTTTCGGGGCAGAATTGTTTAAATTAATGTTTTTGTATGTGAATAACATGATTTATTAATGTTAAAAAAAAAAAAAAAAAAAACAAAAAAAAAAAAACGTGAAAACTAATAAAATATATAGAAAAGAAAAAAAAAAAAAAAAGGAATAGGCAGGCAGTAGGGGATTCAAGCACAGTGCCTTGAAAAAGTATGCATACCCCTTGAAATTTTCCACATTTTGTCATGTTACAATCAAAAACGTAAAATGTATTTTATTGGAATTTTAGGTGATAGACCAACACAAAGTGCCACAAAATTGTGAAGTGGAAGGAAAATGCTAAATAGTTTTCAATTTTTTTTTTTGCAAATAAATATCTGAAAAGTGTGGCGTGCATTTGTATGCAGCCCCCTTTACTCTGATACCCCTAAACTAATATTTAATGGAACCAATTGCTTTCAGAAGTTACCTAAATGGTAAATAGAGTCCACCTGTGTGTATTTACCTTCTTTTCAAGCAATGGCTTTATTTTTCCAATTTGATATTAGTGCCTGGGTCACAATAAGGTTGTCCAGACATCCAAATAGAAAACAGTGGAAATTACTTCCTTTCTCTGGACAAGAATACCAGCTTTTGCTCATGAAAAGAGCAAATGTCAATCCAGACATACTCCTACACTCTGAGGGGAAAAACTAGATAACTGCCCATTTTCGCAGGCAAGCATGATTCCTTAGTAACTATCTGCCCATTCGTTTCTTATTTTCCAAAAGGTGTTCTTATTCTTTTGTGTTAGACTACCTAAAATGGTATATCAGGTAAATGCAGAGCTTAGTACAATTAGTCATCCCTTGGCTAGAAGATCATACATGTCCTCAGGACAGTTAAATCTACACACCCTGCAGTTTTTGTTGGATCCACACCCATCTTTGGCTCTACCATTGCTCCAGGCAAATTATCCTTTATGTAAAATAATCTCCAATGGGAGGAATAGGACTTTACCAAAAAATCAAAGCAGGTGTGTCAACCTGGGAACTCAAGTGCTGAGGACATTAATGAAGTGGTTGATTTACTAAAACCAGAGAGTGCAAAATCTGACGCAGTTTCACACAGAAACCAATCAGCTTCCAGGTTTTGTTAATTGAACAAGCTAAAGTTAGAAGTTGATTGGCTACCACGCACAGCTACACCTAAATGCAGTGATGCTCTTTACACTTGCATTTTGTGCCATGATCCAGAAATCCTCAGCTCAAACGTCCAGGGATTCTTGAGCTCTCTAAACCACTCTGCAACCAGTAGGTTAGCAGAGAAATCCCCACAGGTATATACTACCAGCTGCAGAATGGTGTGCAGCGAGCAGAAGCATTTCAATCACTTTACTCACGTTACCTTGATCTAGCCATCTTGAAATTCTGATCCTGGAGCACTTTTCTCTCCATTTTATGCATAGCTTTTTATCCAGAGATTACAGGAAACCCAACATTGTGCAATAAAGGGAAAGATTTTTTTTCTAATTTCACTTCTAATGCTGTACAGATAATTGTGCTTATATTGCAAAACTATAAACAGAAATAAAAATAAATACACTTCCCCAAAAGAGAATTTTCTCCTATTTCATATACAGAATAAGAGATCAGCAGTATGTGTGACAGGTTCCCAGGTTTTCCTGCTATTTGGATTTAGGGGTATAAAAACAAAACCCACAAATTAACTTCATAACTTCACTTCAGGAAGTCTTTGCAGTTATAAGTAAGGTATATAATAAACTAAGGTTTGGCTAAATTAATATTTAAAGTTCCTTTAAATCAAGTCCAAAGCATGCAGAAAACTCTAAATAACAGACTAATAAAAATTGGCAATTTGTTTTTGTTTTTTAAAGAAAGTGGATTCTTCACCCTGGCATACACGTGAGAGCTAGCATCTTCAGCAAACATGCAGCTTGCAGGTGCAATGACTAAACTCTATGAGTAAGCGCTATTCAGTGTGAAATATGGCAGGGAATTAAGCCTTCTTTATGTTGCTCTGTTAAGCCTTGAATAAACATTTTACATGCAGCATCTGGTTTGTGCAATCATCCACATTTTCAAGAATAATTTATAGAGATATATACTGTAGAAAAAGCTATATCTATCATGGGTGCTACCTCCCAACACTTGGCCATAGCAGGATGCACTATATGCACATGCATTTATTAGGCTCTAAACCAAGCTGCATCTAAAAACAGTCCAGGGTTAAAAGAAGGACCATTCTAAGGTCCACTTTATTATGAAAAGGATTACACTGTGGAACAGTGACCCTTTAACTCACTAAAAGAAAAATAATTGTAACTGTCAATTCCACATTCTGTACAATGAAAGCTGAATGTACGGTACTTACTGGCTCCTCTTTGATGACCAAGCACAAATCTGCATCGCTGCTCCTTGTGCCAAACCCATTGAGCGAAGATCCAACCAAATACAGCCTGCTCTCTAGAAAGAGTAAAAGGATAATAGTGAAACAAAATAACAGGCAGCAAATAGTTCAAACCAGTTGTCCAAGTACCTACGGGGAAAGATATGCTGAATTTCTCTCTGGAGTTCTGCTCGACAGACATCTTTCTTTTTCAAGTCAGTAACTTGCTGCTGACAGGCTTGAAACAAGTCCAAAATCTGCTGGCTCAGCTGCAGCAAAGTAACAGGAATCAAAAGCACATTTCAGGTCACAGAAGATAGATTTTATGTGCATTTCACAATGAGATGTGGACTAACACCTCTAAATAATTACATACAAGTAAAGCTGTCATCGGTAATGTTATATTTCTGAAAAATGAAAGAGGCACTGCTTCTCCACACAGTGATGGGTCTCATGACAGGAGGCTCATCACAGGAGGCCTTTAAAGAGAACCAGTCAGGACAGAGATGCAGGAGCCAACAATGCGAAATAGTTTTTTTTGAAGGTGCATGCATATACGAGAGCTCAATTTATGTTTCTCTCCATCCAATCCCAAAATTAACCGCTTACACAGAGCACAGCCAGACAGATTTCACCACCTTCTCTCATACAGTGAAGGAGTGGTGCCAATTCCCTGCCCCTACTGTGAAGGCACAGCACCAGACTGACTGAATCATCTTTCTACTCCGCCTTATATCAGTATGGTCCTTGTCATAACAGTTGAATGCACCATGCCCAAATGACTCCCAATGCTGCCTCTCCTAGTCTGAGTGGTGCTCTACAGAGGATTACCAAAGGAAAACTGTTTAAAATTCACATACTTCTAAGGCATTACCCAATATATACAAACAACTGTTTAATGATACAAGCAAGGTCCTTATGCTATACTACAATCCATGGTTAGTAAACTTTCCTGAAATGGATGAAGATGATTGGGATGATATGTGGGATGCCCCCTTTACTAGACTTGTGTCAGCAATTATTCATTATAGGTTCCTTCACAGGATATACTTGACTCCAGATACACTAGCCAAGATTTCCCCTGATCAGACCTCCTTTTGGCATTGCACGGCCATCCAGCAATTCTGGTTGGAGGTCATGCAATGTGGCCAGTTGGACACAACAATACATGTTCAGCCCTCGGTTTGAAACTTGTCTCCTAGGCCTAGTGGACTCCTTGGCTCCCACAAAAGTGATACGCACCCTACTTTCATTTATCATTTTATTACGCCAGGAAGATCATTAACCTTCCCTGGAAAAAGCCTACTGCCACAACTATCCTGGCCCACAAACTGTTAATAAAACACTGCCTTTATACAAAGCTATATATGCCAGTAGGGGTGTGCCAGCCAAATTTGTGTGCAGAGGCTGGGTGAATGCTGCATCTACAGTATCTGATTAAATACATGTGTTTAATATGTTTCCCCTTCTAAGCATTCCTAGAGCTTGTTAGCACTTTTCTGTGCCCTGGGATCTCATGCAAGCTCCCTAGGGAGCAGCGGTATTGACCGTTTTGCAGATGTGCCCGATTCAGTCTCTGAAACATAAATTGTTCCATGATGGAGACTGGACAACAAAAAACTCCACAAAAAACAGATGCCAACTCAAGTGCATTAGGCACGCATCAATACGTGCTAAATGCCTTACAATTTAATGAATATAGAGCTGAACTTGTTTGTGTCTTTATAGCTGGACTTTACCTGTAACAACCTGATAAAAAAAAAAAAAAAAATATGTTCTTTAGCAAGGAACATCCATTCCACATTAATAATTATGCTACCAAAAATTAGTGTGTGCTGTAAATTGCCACCAACATTTCTCCTGTTTCTTCTTGCCAAAGGCTGCCAGAGCTGAAGCCCAGAGCCCCTGAGCAGCAGTAAATCTTTAGGCTTTCAGCAGATCGGCCTCTACATTTTGGCACAGTGCCGAAAAAGAGAGAGCACAAATAGGCATGTGCAGAGCAGGGTGAGATAGTGTATTACTGGATTTTAAACAGTATAGGCACTTATTTTTAATGTTTTACATAGCTATACTTGCAAAAGGGGCCAGCCTAAAGTGATCTAGCAGAACTTAATTTTCTGACTAAAGTTCCACTTTATTATTTGGCTGGAACTTTAATACACTACTTAAATCACTGAACCAGCACAAGCATGCAGGCATGAATGGCATGTGCACATGCTTGTTTCATATCAATAGCAAGTAGACAAGACAGAAGATAACAGGCTTGGAACTTCAAAAAGAAGTCAGCAACAGCACCGCCATTATTTCTGTCCTGACAGGCTCCTTTAAAAATAGCTCCAAGCACTTTTCAAATGCAACTCTGATCTCAAAGACTGTAAGCACTGCAGTAGCTTCAGGGCTACTTTGGGGCTTAAGCTGACAATACATGGATCAAAACTTGGCTGATTCAGTGGGGACTGCACAAATTTCATCCCATCTATGGCCGATTCATTCATGAGCAGACTGTCTATCGATTGACTGCTCATGAATCTGCAGTGTTCATCAGTGTATTCTGTCAGAATACAATGACACAGCAGGGAAGATTTCCCAATCTACCTCACATGCGTGGATGGGCACTTTTTTTTTTGCTCAGCGGACTGGCTAAGCAAATATAAAAAAAAACAAAAACAAAAAAAAAAAAAAAAACAAAAAACTGAGCCATGTATGGCAAGCCTTAAAAAGTGATAGGAACCACAACCTTTTCAAGAGAACATGTCACTTTTCCTGAACAGGCAAACTGAAACATTCACTTTGACGACATTTTTACGCAGTGGTTATTGCAACAAGAAATGACTAGTTATTAATACCTTGTCTTTAGCAACAGGCAAAGTGGTATCTATGAGGTCAAACAACCATGCATCTCCAGGCGATGAAACTTGCCCATTTAACTCATGTGGTGGAGGCGCCAGCCTAAGTGGCAGTCCCACAGTTCCTGGGAAATGGTGGCGGAGGTCATCTCTTAAAGGCACTGCTTGGTGAACAACAGAGGAAGGCTGTTGAGGGGATTGAAACCTTTGCCTCTTTACATCATACTGCCCACTGCCCTCATCACTTCTTCTCCTGAAGTTGAAAGACAGAAAAAACAACAACAACAATGTACTATTGTAATCCATCACACTGCAATAACCACCACCACCAGCAATGAATGTACAAAGAAATAGTGATATACACAAAAAGGACTCCAGTAGTTTGGTGAAGGTGAAAGACTGTTAGTACAGAAAACAGTTTTTATCAACACAAGCAGATAGAATGACACAATAAACATTTAGAAATAACTTGTTGGGGGATGCCACTGCTGACCATCTCCTAAAAAATGCAAGTTGCCTGAGTGTTATGCTGGACTTTTGGCTTCAATAATTTCCCCATCAGGCAGTCGTAACCAGTATGCAATCAAGAACCTCAACTTTTATTAATTTATTTACTTTTTTAAATGGATATACTTGTCCCAAACCAGTGACACAAAGTAGTGTTTAAGATGGTCGACATAAAAGCCAGGTAGTAAGCATTGTTATGAGGAGAGGTCATTAATGGCATATTTTCTCCTAATGCCGGGTTGACACTTACATTTGAACCTTAAAAAAAAAAAAAAAAAAAAAAGAGAACACAGACTATACTCAGCAGTGCATAACTTAATCTCTTGTTACAGTGAGGAAAATGGAACCTGGAAGAGCTTACCGTAAAAGTGATTCAATATGTAGAATCTGCCTAAGTAAAAAGGGTAATCTGGGCAAAAAAGAACCCAAATTCACTTTGCACGTTTTCACAACTTCAATTTGCAAACAAAAGCACATTGCTCATAAAAATGTAACATTTAAAACAGTGTAATTTTTAAAATGCACCTTCTACCTTTAAACTGTTAATCTTTAAAAAAAAAAAAAATATTTGTATGAAAATTCTTGCCTGAAACTCAATAACTGTATGGCCAGCATAAGATATTTAGCAGCAGCATGCTTTCTGTATCACCTGTCATGTCGAGGTTAAAAAAAAAAAAATTTGTAAAAAAAAAAACCCGGCACGTAATCTCTACTATAAAGGGGGTTCATTTATACTGTGAAAGCAATTGCTGTATTTTCTGATATGTAAAACAAATAATGCATTCTGTATTCATGTGAACTAATCAGCTGACCAACTAATCGATTATGAAAATAGTTGACAACTATTTTCATAATCGATTAGTTGCTTCAGCCCTAATACTGACACTAATTTTAAAAAGTCCTACCCAATGTACACAGACCCTAACCTACCAATTTTTCTTCTTTTGTTTACATTTCTCCTCTAGAGATACAATATATAGACGAGAAAAAAAAATACAGGGGTGGACTGCACAGTGAATGATCACTATGAAAATCAATAGGAGGCTATCACAGTGATCAGGTAATCGTGCCTCCTGGTTTCCGATCCTTAGTATGGGGCTCTTGGTGAGAGCCTGGTCCCTGCACTGGGAGAGAACTCCAAGCACAAAACACATATGTGCATATATGCGGCCTCACAGAAGAAGACCTGCATATACAGTCATGGCCGAAATTGTTGGCACCCTTGATATTTTTCCTGAAAATCAAGTATTTCACACAAAAAAGGTATTGCATTAACACATGTTTTGCTATACACAGTGTTTATCCCTTTGTATGTAATTGGAACAAATATAAAACAGAGGCAGAAAAGCAAATATGACATAATGTCACACAAAAACCCCAAAATGGGCTGGACAAAAGTATTGGCACCCTTAACTTAATATTTGGTTGTCACACTCCTGTTGGGAAAACATAAACTGAAATCAGGTCGCTTCCTATAACCATCAATAAGCTTCTGACACCTCTCAACCCCGGAATTTTGGACCACTCTTCCTTTGCAAACAGCTCCAGGTCTCTCTATTGGAAGGACAACAAAACACCTTTTCCCAACAGCAATTTTAAGATCTCTCCACTCAGGTGTTCAATGGGATTTAGATCTGGGCTCATTGCTGGCCACTTTCAGAACTCTCCAGCGCTTCTTTGCCATCCATTTCTGAGTGCTTTTTGACGTATGTTTGGGGTCAATTGTCCTGCTGGAAGACCCAGGATCTTGGAACGCAAACCCAGCTTTCTGACACTGGGGGCCCTACATAACTTTGGTAATCCTCAGATTTCATGATAGCATTGCACACAGTCAAGGCACCCAGTGCCAGAGGCAGCAAAACAACCCCAAAACATCATTGAACCTCCACCATATTTTACCGTAGGTACTGTGTTTTGTTCTTTGTAGGCCTCATTCCCGTTTT